ATAGGACAAAAAATATATATATATATTTAACATTAAAAACATTCACAAAATTTTATATTACACAAAAGTACATTTAATGACTAAATAAAATTCTATATAAATTCAACTAAGTATGCAATTGCAAAATGAACTTTATTCAACTATTACTTTTCAGTTAAAATTAGAATTTTTAATATTCCCAGAGTTTTCAGTATCTAGTTTTAAACACACATCATTAGCTAATGTTGTAATTGTCAGACTTGACATATTTTTTCAGGAATGAGAAGTGTAAGCACTTTGAAGACTCAAAGTAAGGCTTGAATCCTGGACCCATCACCTACCAGTTTTGTGAGCTTCCAAGTTACCCAAACTCACTGAACTCAATTTTGAAAGCCATAAATGTAGATAATAATGCCTATTAGTTTCCCTGGTAGATTTCAGTTATCATACAAGTATGTATCAAGATAGATTTACACACATTTGCATGGAATTTGCATTTTAATCTTTAGAAGAGCACATTATGCTCATTCACCTTCTGAGTGGGGATTCTCAGTTTAAAGATAAAATCCAGAGAGCTACTGTTCCGATAAATTCCCCTATTCTTTAAATGAGACAATGCAATCTCTATACCCTGATACCTCCTACACCAGCTTATGATAAATGGTAGCTTTTGAATGGAGAAAATACCCTTGCTATCAAAAACTAATCCAATATCTAATATAGTGTCTAAATGCTGTAGCAATCAGGGTCACAAAAAATTATTTTAAATTGACCGATAGAAGTGTTCAAGGGGCAATTTTAAATTACAGCTTGCCAGATAGGAAGTCTGTATAGCATAATACAGTAGAAAGTAAGGAAGAGGAAGACTACCATGGCTCAAAACCTGGCTCTGGAACTTCTTTTGTGACCTTTTGGAAGTTGTTTGACTGAGCTGTTCCTCAACTCCTCGTAAGCAATGATAAAGATATACAACCACCATAGACCTTAAAGTATCTCTACAATCAACTTTTTTAAAATGGTCTAAACTGAACAACAAGATAATAAGAAAATGACAAAATAAGAATGAGAAAATGCAACAGGATGAATGCAAATGAATAGAAACAATGGCTAAAAAAAATCCAGACACATAGAAGTCCCAGATGTAACATACAGATTTTAAAAAAGCTCTATGCATTTTCAAAATTAAAATCTTTGTCATTGCATTAAAAATTATATTAAAATAACTCAATTAAAACTTTAGAAATGTAATTCCATTTAATAAAAATAAGAGATAAATGAATGCTTTAAAGTCCATGTTAAACACAAGTGAAGAAAGAATTAGTGAACTGGAAAATAGATCATAGGTACATATTTGAACTGTAATATGGAGAAACAAAAGGATGATAAATACATAAAAGTAAGCAGAAAACATAAGTAAAAGCTCATATATATGCAATTAGGAATCCAGAAGGAGAGGAGCTTAAAATAATAGGGCGGGAATATAATTTTAAGGAATATTGACTGAGAACTTTCTAAAACTCTCTCTCTTTCTCTCTCTCTCTCTCTCTCTCTCTCTCACACAAATACATCAAACCACCCATGAAAAAATCACTATGAGACCCAATAAGAATAACTGTCAAAAAAACAAACTATTCTAGGTGCATTAGGTGCATAATGGTGAAGTTGCTTAAAACTAAATATAAAGAGGAAATATTGAAAACAGTAAAATAAATAAATAAATAAAAGACATTGCCTTCAAATTCAGAGTAGTAACAATTAGAATGCCAGCTCCTTTATTAATAGAAACAAACAAACAAACAAAAAATACAGAAGAAAAGAATGTATCTTCAATGTGCTGAAGGAAAATCACTGCCAACCTAGAATCCTATGGCAAATAAACTTGTTTAATTAGAATAAAAGCAAAAAAAAAAAAAATAGATATTTTCAGGGGAAAAAAAGAGAGA